TATCTAACCGGTGCATATAATGCTTTGTCGTAATTTGCTACCATGTTGACGTCAGTATTTCTTGTGTAATCAGGTTATAACTCGTGTAGTTTAGTATAGGCCACACAATACTGTTAAATTAAATAATGATATATAAGTGATGAATTTCCTGTTTGTGTCTATAATTTTGAAACATATTTACGGTTTATAGATCGAATCCCCAAACTTACGTGACGTCACATTGACATACTAGATATCTTGTTCCAATCTTTAGTATAGTGACAGTTTGTGCAACAGGAATTGAATTTCATTGAATACTCATATCAATAAATCCGCTGTTAAACTTTTTATCCAATCATACTTTATTTCTTATCCTTCCTATATTTTGGTGAAGTTTAATTTCGCTTTATTTTGTTAAGCGTCCTATGAACAGCTCAGTTCAGTTAAGTGATTATCTAAGGTTTGGTCTTAGACATACAAAGTATGTTATACAAAAGGTCATGTATGTATATCATTCATTGTACATGGCGGACAACACAACATTCACAGATCACAAATCATTTATTTATATCTTCAACAGTATTTCTAGCCTTTCTAAGAATTAACTAACATTTGAAAGTACTGGTACATTGCAAGTAGCAGTTAACTCTTGCATTTTTATAACGCTTGGGAATGTATGATAATATTTTGGTATATAGAATGTTCTACTTAGCTTAACTGATACATGATCGCACTTAAACAAATAGTTGAACTCAACACAAGTTCTATTTTCTCGGGATAAGCCGACCCATCTTCCAGTTTCTATTGATACATAAACTGATTTTAAGTTCTAAACTTAATGATATTTTTTCTGTCTTTTGGCTTCAGTTTAATAAAGTATTTTTCAAGTTCAAAATATGTTTAAAAATCGAATAGATGAGTTCTCTTGAAAATGTTGCTATATCATTAAACTAATTTTGGATAAATCGATCTTGTAATCTTAGTTTTACAATGCATTTCAAGTTAGGAAGCGCGTGCCCCTAATGACGCCTCGCTGACACGAGCAAGGTTGTGGCAAAATTATTCACCTTCATACAGATTTACATTCAGTCCTGAGAAGCTCCACATATTGGTGGGATATATCTTTAAGGTATGAGCAGCATACGTGAAGAGTAGACTTAACTAGGAACTATACATTGGGAACTGATCTTGTGGGCATGACAATAGTTTAACAAATAATTCCTGATTCCTGAAAAGAAAAGAAATATCTAAATGTTTCCGCATACATCCGCTTTAAGCTGACACAACATATCCATCGGCTACAGTGTCCAGAAACTATGGTTACATCGGCTTGTTGGTGATATAAAACGGGGCATCACGTTACAAACGTATGGGCTTGCAACCAGACAGTCTAATTCACACGTCAGATTTTCATGTTGCCTCATATTCACTGAAGTAGACACGTTAGAACAGACAACATTGTATTTTTTAACACGTTAAGCATTGTAACTTATCTTGATCTTTGCGACTGAGAAAATAATCCATATGAATCGTTGGTCACCTCTACTGGAACCGATAATCAGGATGGTCTTGCCTGTTAGTTCTTCTCTGACTTGGTCGGGGTAGGTAACACACTCCTGGCCGGCCACTCATGTTGTCATGCATGGCTGCTTACATGTGCATACATCATCACTGAAACGGAGAGTCGTCTCTTAAAATCGTATTGAAATGACATTATAAAGCGTATAATATTCTGCTGTGCTTACTCAAGTATACGGACATGAAGTATCTGGGAAAGAATCCTTACTTGTTTCTCTCTGGACGTAAACTTATAACATACAAATAAAAAAAAATAAAAAAAATACATGAACATAATAAAATGATCTTTCAAAAATGCTACTCTAGAAGCAAAAGCGCTCTTGTGAAGTAGATAGCTAGATCACACAATGTTAGAAAATATCTACATTTAAAATTTTCATGATTTGTGGGATTGATGGAAACGAGGCACTGGAGTAAATCGACCGTATCGGCAATTTATTAACTGCCATCCTCATTACGCTATTTGTGGTTCCTTGCCTCAAGTTAATTCAACCATGACATCGATTTTCTTACAAATTCCCCCATTATGATATTCACTGACTCATCTAAGATTAAGTTTTAAAATTCTTTTCCTTTTCATATTACTACCGAAGTCCGTAAACTTACTCGGGAGATGTAGTTTTATAAAACGCAAGGTAATTATGAGTGACTGGAATTTTTAGCTAACTTTGTCATCACTCATTTTTAATATTTGAAACATTTTATTGCCCCAGACAATGAAAGAAAATGTCAGGGTTTGGCCTCCAAATTCACATTATCGGTTCCGCTAGTGCTTTCTAAATATATGGTTATTGTGCAGAAGAAGTCACCCATAAGCCGTCACAACAAACTAGTGTCCATACATAAAACGTGTTTAAGATGTAGTTCGGCAGATAATGACGTATGTTTCGTATCGGCCCCTATGAACTACGTGTACCTATGACGGTCCCTTATTTGTACTTGTGATGTATGTAATAAACTGTTGATATTGCCGAACAAGATGGTAGACTCTAGATCTGATGGTGGATTTCTTGCTCCCCGAGGTTTGCCGTAACCTTAATAGCCATAGTGATATCTGTTGAGTAGTGGCACTGTTCATAACATACACGCTCTACTCGCTATTAACTTTAAATTAACCAGTGATCCTCAACTTTTTGAAATTTATGAAAAGGTTTTTTTATGCATCACCATTTCTGTTTCAACAGTAGTTCAGACCAATTAGGGTTTCTGCTTATTGGTCCCTTAAATCAATGATAAGTCCTAGAAGGACGAAACTGCTTAAAATAAAGGTGAGCCGATGGTATAAAGTGCAGGGTCGTTGTGTTTTATAAACAGCAAAATGCAACCTTAAAATCTTAAACGTATTCTAACTAGATCTAAGTTAGAAGTAATTGCCTGAACCCTTGGGTATCAAAATGAAATACACCTCGGTGTGGCACTTGTAACCTTATTGTAGGACAGAGTGATAGAATCTCCCCCTACCTTGAGGGTGTGACAGAGAAATCTCCAACCCGAAGGGTGATATTCTTTGGTTGTCTAACCCGAGGCTCTGTTACACCCTCAAGGTAGGGGATGATTATTTTTCTTCCATCCTAATATATCACTCCACCGACAGTAGTAGACTTCTGTTTGTAAACAAAACTACACGTGGGGTATGAAAATCGTCATTTACTTTTGATGACGTCACATGCTGATCTTCCCCGGCTAAAACGGGAGACACACCTGTGGAAGGAGGAAGAAATGTAGAAGCAATGATATGTTCAAAAAATGGTTTTGATTTTAAGGTTTAAAAGGTATGAGATGTAGGACTAGTAATATAATCTATGCATTGATTAGTAAATATTTTTCTCATTTTATATCGGTCAGGAAAGTAATGACTTACACATCAGAATGACTGTACACATGTACATAGCATATCTTAGTATAGCTTAAAGCATGTTACCGGTTAGTAAACATATACACGCTTGTGCTGATGACAAAATTAAGATATGTCCTATTTACCAACTGAACGATGCAGACGTTATCAAACGTGAGCCCAATTTATCTGCATGATGCATATGATCGAGTGTTTTTCGTCTGTGCCGCCCATTTTGGACTTGGTGATGTGAATTAAGCTAGGGCTACACAGTGATAGATTGAACAACTTGATGATCTAAATCAACCTCGAATATCGCGTGAGTAGGAAAAGTAAGATATTCCAACTATTGGAAAGATCCGCAATGTATAGAGAAACAATATTTTCAGTTTACAGGTATTTAAAAATGACCTTGCACCGCTTTGAAAGTCAGATGTGAAATGGATACACGCACAGTGAAACGGTGAGCGATACATATGAGCGATACACATACTCATTTGGCCTCTAGTTTATCTATATATATCATACATTTTTTATTATTATTATTAAATATTTTCATTAGTTCTACCCCATTTTCACAGGAGGGCCACAATCCCAGTTAGTGGAGTCTTATAGTTGAGGTTCAAGGGCGATATACAGTATGCACAAGATATAGACCATGCACACTAGATTAACAAATCTGTATATATATATATATATATATATATATATATATATATATAGAAAAAATAAGATTAACGACCGACTAAAAAAACTAGCTGCTTCACCCTTCACAGGGCTCTTCAGGTTTGTTTATATTCTGGTGGTTCATATATATTTATGATGTTGGCGCACCATCACTTTCACTCACAATATCGAAGAATTATTATTTGGCGTCTTGTGTACGCCTAAGTAGAGCTATGTTTACGCCGATAACAATGACATGTATACAACAATAAATAAATGTATAACGCGGTAAGCATCATAGACAGCAGAATAAAAAAGCACTATACAAATTAACATAAATAGCATGTAGCATATACATATTATAATAAGAATAGTTTCTGGGTGGAAAAGGAATTTGACAGAATACATGCTAATATGTAGCATAAACTAAACAACAAAGAACTTAAATAACTATTTAAATAATAATTACTAAAGTACATATGGAATATGTCCAAAAAGTCCAAAAAGTCCCACATACAATAATGTACCAAACAAAGACAAAAGTAAGCACTACATGCATAAGAATAAAACGAGGAGCAGATGTAACTTTAAGATTATTTACTGACATATAGATGTCTATTGGGTAATTGTAAGCTGTTCTACACCCGGGCGGCCTCTAAGCGAAGGATTTCATACCATACCAGTGGTTCTGACGTGTGAAATATTTCGCTTTCCAACTTCCCTTATCTTTATTCATTACTGATTTTTTAATGCATCATTAGTTTTCTTTGGTGCGTTATCTGAAGGTTTTTTTAATTTATTGTCCTAATTACGGTATTTTCGACAATCTCTATCACAAAAACGCTTAGATGCTTATAAGTCCTTGCATTTAAGCTTTTCAAAGATATAGAATATACACATTAATAAGTTCTCGCATCTAACTCTGTGCCATGCGTTTGCTGTGTGTGAGATATCGTATGTGGCCATCAGGTTAAGGCGGTAATGTTGTCTTGTGGTAACGTCAAAATAAATGGCAGAAGTTGTTATGCCTGGGAGACGGGCATACTGGTCTAAATACGGTGAGTTTAGGACATCAACATATAAAGTATGTTCCTGAACGAAGGATTCCTTTCCCACTGGAGATAAGAACGGACAAGATTTGAATGACTTTACTTTTTCCCCCGTATTTTGTATTGTCGGCTCTGTTCGGACATGTTTAAAGAACACTTTTGACTTCAAAAGAGTGTATGATACCGATAGTCATTTAATGTATATTGAGGCTAAAGGTACGAACTTTGTTTCTTCAAATAAAAAATGTTTCTCCACTGGGTTACTGGGTGTCTGTACTTTAAAACTTTAAAAATGTGAAGGTTTGAACTTTCTAGATGTGAACACACGTCACTCCGACAAGGGGCTTCTTTAAGTGACTAAAGCAGATATTGGGAGGGAGTCGTTGTATTAAGTGTAAGTGCTGCAAAACTAATCAAGTCAGTGATAACAAGCTCTTCTTTGGGGGAAATGACATCCGGTCCATGAACATCTTGTAATTTTTCTCATGCAACTTCAGTCCAAGAAATTTACCGTCATTATATATAATATGGACTTTTGTATGGCTGTTCTCACTCTTGCCTGTTCCTTCCATGGCATTGGGCTGACCAATAATTTTATGCGGTTTTTGGACCTTTTTTGTTTTTGGATCATATAGAATAATAATTAGTATATTCAGTAATATTTTCGTTCAGAGTACACTTTAACCCAACTTGAGATTTTAAGCCAGGCTAGTAGAAAATCTGCACAATAACAAGAAAAATTTAGGGCGAGCAGGGAGAATGTTTAGCCAGTCTACCAACAGCTCAATCAAATCACCTCTTCCCCGGTAGAAAGGCTCATGTAATTATATCCCATCGTGTTTTAAGAGTGTTTATCTGTAATGTTGCGACGACTAGTACAGTATATACTCTGTCATGTTCATCAAATGACCAATGAATTTTTTTAACACAAAGGTGTAAAATATGTACAAGTTGGCAATATAAAATCTACTTTGATGGGCATTATACACTTAGTTATTATCCATATAAAATGATGACTTGAACTGACAAATTGATTTGGCTTTGTTTTGTTTAATACCTGGTCATAGATGTGTGAGAGTCTATTTCCCCGATTTCCCAATCTGTCAATGATTTTCACTAATATTGAAAAAAATAATCCATGTCCAGAGCTAAAGCTTTTGTTGGCTGCCTGTGTGTTTATTGACACATTGTATACATGTAAGTCAGGGATAAGGCAGTATTTCCGTTATTTGCAAAAAAATAACCTATAATATTTTCTAATTTTTAAGCAAAATGGTGACAACTATTTTGAAATTTTAGGACATGGTCTCTGTCACAAAATATGTGGCAAAACCCCTGTGAGAACATACTGGTAATTTTGTGTTTGGTCTAGCTGTATATGATCCCCCTCAAATATAGTGTAATTAAGGGTCAAACGTACACATGGCGTTGAACATATTAAATATCACTTTATTTTTGTTTCAGCTCTGGACTCCAGTGAAGAATCAGAGTCAGCTTTTGTCCCAGGTCAGTAACATTAATTGGTTATCTCCCTTTCCTTCACATCTCCCCCATCCCCCTCAACCTGTCAATGAGTAAGTCTTTCTATTCATTTTGAAAAATCTGTAGTGTTTAATTGTTTAGAATCTTATCATCAGGGGTCGACACTGACACTAGTCCACTAGGCCTGGACTAGTAGATTTCAGCAAGGACTAGTGAATCACCTTACCTAACTGATCCTTTGACTCGTGAACAATAGGATTAAAAATAAGAATACTCCATTCTAAAATTTAGAAAACTGCTTAAAATAAGATATATTGCTTGATGATTGTCAAAATTTTCCTAAATCTTGACCATATTTTTATGGCAGTGGTTATTTCAAGTCCCGGGGACTGTCCACTACTTATGATGTTTCGTGCTGTAGATCGCGATGTTTCCTATCAGGAAATCTGGGACTAGTTACATTGACAAAGGACTAGTAAACAATCTTTTCAACTAGTCCTGTATGTGGACTACCAAGCAAAAACAGTTAGTGTCTAACCTTGATTATAAAGTTACTGTATTATACGTTGTTGTAACTTTTCTGCCTATCCATCTAAAAACACGGTCATCTCATGCATTCGTTTTGGATTAGGAGTAGGGAAATCAATATCAGATGTAGTAAAATTCTTTTCAATTTCTGAGTAAAAAAGGAAAGGGTTTGACAGAACTATATAAATACCCACTTCAACACTGTTGAGAGTCTCCTGATTATAATCAATGACACATGTACATGCTAATGATATATCTTTTGTGATGTTTGAGAAATGTTCAAAACACAAATATTCAAAGCACAATCAAATAGATATTGTAGATGATCAAATCTTTCAAATAACTTATCTTTCTATTAAGTGTGACACAATTCAAGACGTTCAAAATCTAAGAGTGGCACATATATTGTCTGGTAAGTGTGCCACAAGTGAAATCTTGATCCACAAATTAATGTATTTTAGTCAGGCAAGCTAGCTTTATTTGATTTAATGTAAAAAAGATATGTTTCATGTATTTATACACTATAGTTTGCATGTTTAGATGTTCAAATTACCCTGAGACATTTCAATATTCTCGTACAGGTACATGTTGTATTACTTTGATTTATTATAGTATAATATATGGTTCTTTTTATTGAGAATCATTGATAGATTCTATATTTAATTTAATATTTTATTATTATTATTATATATTTATTAGTGGTAAATTTCAATGTTTTCTTAATGAAATGACCTTGATTGTAGTTCAAAACAGTGAAAAGCTTGTCTCATAGAAGTTTGATTTATGAATAAAGACATCATTAGTATTATGTGATCCAGACTTTGCTGTAACTTCGACGTATCAAGAAATTTGAGTCTTTGAAGTTTGATTTATGGAAGTTTGACTTACATCTGTCATATATATATAGCATTTCTTACTACATTTATGTGTAGGAGTGTCAGCACCAGGGAACAGGCGTCCATTGAAAATGCTGGGGAGGAAAACTCCAGAGATAAAAGTACGGATTCCTGTTAAACAACCACTCGTAGAACAGCTTGCTGTGTCCCTTGATACTGTCACAGTAAGTAACCACATCCCTGTCACATTATGTAACTACATCCCTGTCACAATATGTAACCACAAATTGCTGTCACAGTCAGTAACCAAATCCCTGCAGTCACAGTCACTAAAAACATCCTGTCACAGAATGTAACCACATCCCTGTCACAATATGTAACCAAATCCCTGCAGTCACAGTCACTAAAAACATCCTGTCACAGTAAGTAACCACATCCCTGTCACAGTAAGTAACCAAATCCCTGTCACAGTAAGTAACCACATCCCTGTCACAGTCAGTAACCTCGTCCCTGTCACAGTAAGTAACCACATCCCTGTCACAGTATGTAACCACATCCCTGTCACAGTATGTAACCAAATCCCTGTCACAATATGTAACCAAATCCCTGCAGTCACAGTCACTAAAACATCCTGTCACAGTCAGTAACCACATCCCTGTCACAGTCAGTAACCACATCCCTGTCACAGTAAGTAACCACATCCCTGTCACAGTAAGTAACCACATCCCTGTCACAGTATGTAACCACATCCCTGTCACAGTAAGTAACCGTATCCCTGTCACAGTAAGTAACCAAATCCCTGTCACAGTAAGTAACCACATCCCTGTCACAGTCAGTAACCACATTCCTGTCATAGTAAGTAACCACATCGCTGTCACAGTATGTAACCACATCCCTGTCAAAGTAAGTAACCACATCCCTGTCACAGTAAGTAACCACATCCCTGTCACAGTCAGTAACCACATTGCTGTCACAGTCAGTAACCAAATCACTGCAATCACAGTCACTAAAAACATCCTGTCACAGAATGTAACCACATCCCTGTCACAGTCAGTAACCACATTCCTGTCATAGTAAGTAACCACATCCCTGTCACAGTCAGTAACCAAATCCCTGTCACAGTCAGTAACCACATTGCTGTCACAGTCATTAACCAAATCACTGCAATCACAGTCACTAACAACATCCTGTCACAGAATGTAACCGAATCCCTGTCACAGTAAGTAACCACATCCCTGTCACAGTTAGTAACCAAATCCCTGTCACAGTATGTAACCGAATCCCTGTCACAGTAAATAACCACATCCATGTCACAGTAAGTAACCACATCCCTGTCACAGTCAGTAACCACATCCCTGTCACAGTAAGTAACCAAATCCCTGGCACAGTCAGTAACCAAATCCCTGTCCCAGTCAGTAACCAAACCCCTGTCACAGTATGTAACCGAATACCTGTCACAGTAAATAACCACAACCCTGTCACAGTAAGTACCCACATCCCTGTCACAGTTAGTACCCAAATCCCTGTCACAGTATGTACCCGAATCCCTGTCACAGTAAACAACCACATCCATGTCACAGTAAGTAACCCCATCCCTGTCACAGTAAGTATCCCCATCCCTGTCACAGTCAGTAACCACAGCCCTGTCACAGTAAGTAACCACATGCCTGTCACAGTAAGTAACCACGTCCCTGTCACAGTCAGTAACCAACTCACTGTCACAGTCAGTAACCACACCCCTGTCACAGTCAGTAACCAACTCACTGTCACAGTCAGTAACCACATTGCTGTCACAGTCAGTAACCAAATCCCTGTCCCAGTCAGTAACCAAATCCCTGTCGCAGTCAGTAACCACATTCCTGTCACAGTCAGTAACCACATCGCTGTCACAGTATGTAACCACATCCTTGTCACAGTATGTAACCACATCCCTGTCACAGTAAGTAACCACATCCCTGTCACAGTAAGTAACCACATCCCTGTCACAGTAAGTAACCACATCCCTGTCACAGTCAGTAACCACATCCCTGTCACAGTCAGTAACCACATCCCTGTCACAGTAAGTAACCACATCCCTGTCACAGTAAGTAACCAAATCCCTGTCACAGTAAGTAACCACATCCCTGTCACAATAAGTAACCACATCCCTGTCACAGCAAGTAATCAAATCCCTGTCACAGTAAGTAACCAAATCCCTGTCACAGTCACTAAAAACATCCCTGTCACAGTATGTAACCAAATCCCTGTCACAGTCAGTGACCACATCCCTGTCAAAGTAAGTAACCGTATCCCTGTCACTCTAAGTAACCACATCCCTGTCACAGTCAGTAACCACATTCCTGTCACAGTCAGTAACCACATCCCTGTCACAGTAAGTAACCGTATCCCTGTCACAGTAAGTAACCAAATCCCTGTCACAGTCACTAAAAACATCCCTGTCACAGTATGTAACCAAATACCTGTCACAGTCAGTGACCACATCCCTGTCACAGTCAGTAACCACATTCCTGTCACAGTCAGTAACCACACCCCTGTCACAGTCAGTAACCATATCCCTGTCACAGTCAGTAACCACATCCCTGGCACAGTCAGGAACCACATCCCTGTCACAGTCAGTAACCACATTCCTGTCACTGTCAGTAACCACATCCCTGTCACAGTAAGTAACCACATCCCTGCAGTCACAGTCACTAAAAACATCCTGTTACAGTATGTTACCAAATCCCTGTCACAGTCAGTGACCACATCCCTGTCACAGTAAGTAACCAAATCCCTGTCACAGTCAGTGACCACATCCCTGTCACAGTAAGTAACAGTATCCCTGTCACTCTAAGTAACCACATCCCTGTCACAGTCAGTAACCACATCGCTGTCACAGTATGTAACCAAATCCCTGTCACAGTCAGTGACCACATCCCTGTCACAGTCAGTAACCACATCGCACAGTCAGTAACCACTTTGCTGTCACAGTAAGTAACCACATCCCTGCAGTCACAGTCAATAAAAACATCCTGTTACAGTATGTTACCAAATCACTGTCACAGTCAGTGACCACATCCCTGTCACGGTAAGTAACAGTATCCCTGTCACTCTAAGTAACCGCATCCCTGTCACAGTCAGTAACCACATCGCTGTCACAGTCAGTAACCACATCCCTGTCACAGTGAGTAACCACATCCCTGTCACAGTAAGTAACCATATCCCTGTCACAGTAAGTAACCACATCCCTGCAGTCACAGTCAATAAAAACATCCTGTTACAGTATGTTACCAAAGTAACCACATCCCTGTCACAGTATGTAACTGAATCCCTGTCACAGTAAGTAACCACATCCCTGCAGTCACAGTCAATAAAAACATCCTGTTACAGTATGTTACCAAAGTAACCACATCCCTGTCACAGTATGTAACCACATCCCTGTCACAGTCAGTAACCAAATCCCTGTCACAGTAAGTAACCAAATCCCTGTCACAGTCACTAAAAACATCCCTGTCACAGTATGTAACCAAATCCCTGCAGTCACAGTCACTTAAAACATCCTGTTACAGTATGTAACCACATCCCTGTCACAGTATGTAACCAAATACCTGCAGTCACAGTCACTAAAAACATCCTGTCACAGTATGTTACCAAATCCCTGTCGCAGTCAGTAACCACATCCCTGTCACAGTAAGTGACCACATCCCTGTCACAGTATGTAACCACATCCCTGTCACAGTAAGTAACCAAATCCCTGTCACAGTATGTAACCACATCCCTGTCACAGTCAGTAACCACCTCCCTGTCACAGTCAGTAACCACATCCCTGTCACAGTGAGTAACCACATCCCTGTCACAGTAAGTAACCAAATCCCTGTAACAGTGAGTAACCACATCCCTGTCACAGTCAGTAACCACCTCCCTGTCACAGTCAGTAACCACATCCCTGTCACAGTCTGTAACCAAATCCCTGTCACAGTCAGTAACCATATCCCTGTCCCAGTCAGTAACCACATCCCTGTCACAGTAAGTGACCACATCCCTGTCACAGTATGTAACCACATCCCTGTCACAGTAAGTAACCAAATCCCTGTAACAGTGAGTAACCACATCCCTGTCACAGTCAGTAACCATATCCCTGTCCCAGTCAGTAACCACATCCCTGTCACAGTAAGTAGCCACATCCCTGTCACAGTATGTAACCACATCCCTGTCACAGTATGTAACCAAATCCCTGCAGTCACAGTCACTAAAAACATCCTGTTACAGTATGTAACCACATCCCTGTCACAGTATGTAACCACATATTCCTCCAAAGAAGAGCTTGTTATCACTGACTTGATTAGGCACATATATTCACCTCACATAAAGTAAACATGTTCCTGTCAGAGTAACCCACATATTTCTGTCACAGTTGATATTTTGATGTCATATGATAGTAAAGCACATATTTACTTTGCAGTTAGCAAACAATCACCTGTCAAAGTATATGTAAGTCATAAATTCCTGTCACAGTTAACAAATTGTGAAAGTAAGTCGCAAATTCTTGTCACAGTAAGTCAAATATTCTTATCACAGTAGGTTGCTAATTCTTGTCACAGCAGGTCGCTAATTCTTGTCACAGTAAATTATAGATTCTGGTCCAAGTTTGTCAATAAATTCTTGTTGCTGTAAATAAGAGATTTCCATGAAATCACAATAACAATGCTTAACTGTATAAAAGTGATTTTCCTTCCTAAGTTTTTACAACAGCCTGTTTCTTACACAAATCAACAAAATATAGCATTGTTTTAATTGAAATTAGAGGAGTCTCCATTTTAGGGAAAGCAGACAATTTTTAGCTTTAAAACTAGGCAAAAATAACACTGTATAATAATGAAATTATTCCTTAACAAATAAAACCACCTCTTATTTTCAGGACATCAGCTTTGATGAAACTGTAAGCAAGAAACAAAAACCATCCCATGTTAGAACTACAGCAGGGGTCAAGGCCACTCAGGGAGTGAGTGTTAAGGACACACAAAGAATGAGGTCTGGTAACCATGACAACAGACAGAAACCTGTATCCCTGAAGGACCTACCACTGGAGGAAAAGAAGAGGATTGCAAATCTCATCAAAGAGTTAGCAAGGTTGGTTGATTGATTGATTGGATGTAGGATGCTATTAACTGAGTAAGTCATCTATAAAATGAGTTTGTCACTCTGAATTGAGTAAGTCAACTTTGAAATGAGTTGGTCACTCTGAATTGAGTAAGTCAACTATGAAATGAGTTGGTCACTCTGAATTGAGTTAGTCATCTATGAAATGAGTAAGTAAACTCAATAATAAGTAAGTCAACTATCATCTATGAAATGAATTCAGTTATGGGTAAGTTCAATTTGTGACATGTTTGTAAAATTAGCAAAGGATTTGGATTCTGTACTAAACTGAAGTGTGTTTGTAATATTTCAGAGTTGGTGATGAGAAGGAAAAAGCTGTTGGCCAACTTCATACCGAAAGAAATCAATTTGAGAAACAGGTTCTTCAACTTGTGGATCAACAAGAGAAAATCCTAAATGAAAGAGAAGGTACTTGTTCAATTCATGTTTCAAAAGAATCAATGATTTTACTGATAGGGTGGTTGGGTGGTGCAGTGGGTAGTGCACTTGCCTTTCACTAAGGCGGCCGGGGTTCGATTCCCCGATCGGACGTGAAAAGTTCACCTGCCCGACCATGAGGGTTTTCTCAGGGTACTCCGGTTTCCTCCCACACTAAGACCCCCGAGCGCTAACATTCGGGCCAACAAGAGTGATTAATACAAGTTGAAATAACCTGTTTCATAATTGTTGTAAAATAAATAAAGTTTATTTATTTATTTTACTGAAAGCATTTAGCAAAAATCTAACAGTGATCTGAATCTTTTTCTCTGTTTCTTTTGATCTTTTAAATTTTTTTGGAGATTGAAATTTTATATAGACAAAATACATTATTTAAAGGGCCTTAACTCTGTTAATTGCACTGCTGTTTGAATATTAGTATGCTTACACTTTAATGGTGGAGGTGGCATATAGTAATGACTTTCAGATCTCAGGGCTCAAAAATGGATAACCTTATACTAGGGTTGAGGTTCCTGCCTATTACTTCTATGTAAGGTTTTAATTAAATTCTGTGAGGTGGTATTTGTAATTGCATCTGTAATTCCTTGGGTGGGATAGATGTTTTACTGGAATGCTCTAATCTAAAATCTGACTAACAACATAGTCTACATCTTCATGGGGAATAAGGAAATGTCAACTTTCATAGGACTTTTAATATCATAGCTGTCAACCATCCCTCATTAGGAGGGAGACTCCCTCATTTTGACCAAAATTAAAAAAAACTACATCCTGTGGTCAAATTAGTTACTACAGGGTGTGTGTAATGATCATAACAGGCGTGCCTGAATCAAATTAATGCCTTTTGGAGTTATTTTGATGTATAAGATCAATTGAGCAAAGCAGTTTCAGTCCCATTTCACACACTTTCTCCCTCATTGGAAATGTGGAATGAGGGAGATCTTCCTTATTGAAGGTTTCAGAGGTTGACACCTGTATAATATTTTCAATCAATATTTAGCCACAGGTTATTGATGAGGTACAGTGATACAGGGGACATAACTCTGTCTGTTACAGTCATACAAAGCCAGCTGTTTCAGTGTCAGGACCTGTTGGCTAAGTATCAGGAAAAGATAGAACAGAAACAGCAGGAGGTCGTCGACCTAATAACTACGCCCACAAAGGTCAGAGTTCAAAAGCAGCAGGGTCAATCATTGATTTATACAAATATATATATATAATGACTACAATAATCTAAAGCATGTCATAAGTGAAAACAGGGTTATGAGTCTGATTGAAAAAAAAAATAATAAACATTTGTAAGTAAATGTTTGAAAAATTCAAGTGTCCAACAGTTATTATACAATTAAAGTATTGAACTAGATTTACTTCTCAAACTAAATGGATCCCCAAAACCAGGTGGACAGGAACCAGAAACTTGCTGTGTCTCAAAATTCCATGTTTGAAATTTTTGAAAGTACTGCACAGACAATATTAAAATCAATATTCCAAGCTGTAAAATCTATTGAAAAACTACTGAAACATGTCTGCATTGATGCCACAGTTAGAATACATGATCCATCCACTTTTCACTTAATTAGCTAAAATATTGATCGAAGGAAGTTATGGAAAAATGCTAAGGGATTAAGTCTACAGAAGTGATTTTAGTTTTTCGGACTATCACACTGCTAGTAGAGGTCTAGCTCCCTGGACTGCGAAGTTAGGGCAAAAGAGAATTAAATCAAAGTTCATTTTCTTATTTAGAGTATTTGATAATATCAAAAGTAAACGTCTGTACAATAATTATGTTTTTACTATGAATCACTAATTTGTAAAATATAGACTTTATCAAAAAGAATCTTGTAATTTGCAAAAAATGAGATTGTGTACTTTTATCACATATTCATGTGTAATATTTTTATATGCTACCTTTTAAAACTTTTTAATGATTTTATCAAATGTTTTCAGAGTCAGCACGAAAGACGGCCCAGGTCAGGGTCAAGGTCACCAGAATCTTCCATTCCTTACACATCTCATTGCCATGGTGGCCATGGCGACCTACGATCATTACATGACAAGCTGTACACCACCTTCATAGACAAAGCCATAGCTCACCAGAGGTCAGGGGTCGATGAGGATGGACTCAGCTCCATTGGCGGTCAGTCTGAGATAGGGTCAGTTAAAGGCCAAACTCAACCTCGGAGTCATCACTCTAACCCGGTGCCTCTGGCCCTTCGGAACCCAGTCATGTCTAGTACACAGAAAAGTGCCGACATAAAAGTGTTCAACTCTGAAGAGGGCAGTTTCCATTCATTGCAACCTGACCCAAGCCCCAGGTCATCACGCATATCTAACGAATTTTTACCAGCCAATGAGAATAAAGACTTATTTCAAAAATCAAAAGTAGGGTTCAAAGAGAAATTGGAGGAGGACTTTGATAAAATGCATTCCCCAAATTCAAATCCATCAGGTGTGTTTGGAGATAAAACCTATATGAGTTATTACAAGAAGCTGTCTCAGACGGACAGGAAGCGCGAGTTACTTCGGCAACGGGAGAAATTACTGGATGAGCAACGACGATTAAAAAACGTTCTTATGTCACAGGAAACTCAAATAAAAACAAGACAGAACTTGATCGAGCAACAGCAGGACCTACAACAAGATCGTATGGAGTTCTTTGAAAAAAACGGCAAATTCCCCCTTGGTAGGGTAACTGTAGCCCCCGAGGGTGGAAACCCTTTGCCAAACATATCCCCCAAAGAAAACGTTCCTCCACCCCCTGTGTCAATGCCCCTCCCCCAGGGAGATGATGACGGAAGTCTGTTTAATTACGGGGTCAAAAAATTAGATTTTGACATTGAAGGCGAGGACGCTGGAGAGGAGTCTACGAAAACTCCGCCAAAATCTAAACAACGAAATCAGCATTCCATGGCCACCTCTCCATTCAGGATGGTCTCACCACGAGGGAGAGCCACAAGCAGTCCTGGAGTAGATGTAGCTACCAGTGTTTCTCACATAAACCTCAGTCCTCAGTAAGTATAGCCCTCAGTGTTGCTGTCAGAGTTTCTCATATTTATAAATCACAGCTCTAATTGTGCCTGCTTTAAATTTTGGCAAATTCAAAAACAACATGGCCACCAGGCTATCTGGAATTTTGTTTGCATGGAAAGTTTGTTACCACTATTTCTCAGATAATATTCAAGGAATGGTATTAATGAAACTTATATGCATGAACCCCTTAGTCTATAGCTGTACATGCTCCAAGTTGAAATTGATTAGATAAACAAATTGGTCACAGGGTAACTATCTGGCATTTTCGTTTCAAGCTTGTTACTGAAATTTCTCGGTAACAATAAAGTGATCTAAATAAAGATGGTATAGCTAGGTGTTTCCCCATGTCCATAGTTGTGCCTACTTCAAATTCAGCTGATTAAGACAAAAAAATGGCCACAATGCTAGGTTATTTTGGACTTGTTGTTACGTTGCAATTTTTCTGAAAGCATTAAAGAGATTATGATAAAATTTGGTAATTCAGTGTTCTCCCCAGGCTGTTTTAGCAGCATGGCACCGTGCTCCTATAATTTCTTGCCATGCTGCTATCCTAGATCTTCTCTGCTATATATTCATAGTAAATCTAAAGTTGCCATGCTGCTTCGATTTTACATAGAGTGCTGCTTTAACAGAAATATTGAAATACCATGCTTCTTTCAAAACATTCTGGGGAGAATACTGGGTATGTGTGATCCCCGTGTTCACTGTTGAGCATGCTTCAATTTGACATGGATAAAAAAATCTAGCTTAGGAACAAGGCCCTTCAAGAGTATATTGCAAGTTAGTTTGCATGACCCCAATGGTACTCTGGCGTATATGTAGTTGTTAAAGAACAGTGAAGGAAAAAAAGAATCTCCTTCCAAGCAACATTCAATGATCTGTCAATGGTTTGTTCAAATAAACCTTAAAAATTCTTTGCAAGTAGATGACACTGTTAGGTAATCTGAGACAAAGTCTCATGTGACCTATTGCTGTTGCCTTTATTCACTACTCTGGCCATAAACAGTTTAAATATTTTATTATTTATCCAAAAAAGTCGTCACTGATTTTAATACAATAACAAACTAGCCGAAAACACTGGGACCTATCTGTTACCTAGATATGTTTCCTTTGGGCTATAGGGGCAGGATTCAGAAAAGCAAAATTTTCTGAAATTATCAGGATATGAATTGGTTATATTGCTATACTTTTCCTTGTTGTTATGTTTTTAGGTCACCTGAGCTTTGCTCAAGTGACCTATTCCAATCGCTTTTCGTCCGTCGTCGTCCGTCGTCCGTCGTCCGTCGTCCGTCGTGCGTCGTGCGTAAACTTTTACATTTTCAACTTCTTCTCAAGAACCAGTGGATGGATTTTTTTCAAACTTGGTCAGAATCATCCTTGGTAGATGAGGCTTCAAAATTGTAAAATTGGGATTCCTACCCCAACCCCTGGGGCCAGGGCGGGGCCCCAAAGGGAAAATTA